GGTAGCTTGCCAGGCTCTCCTAGAGGCATGGAGGAATTGAATGCGGGTCAGCTGCATGCAAGGCAAACGCCCTACCCGCTGTGCTATTCCTCCAGTCCATTTGGAGTGTAAATTTATATATTTGTAATATAACTTCTGATTCCCGCAAAAGAACAGAGATGGCATATGATAAACACTGGGGGGTGGGGGGAAGTAAGAGTAATCAGAAGATTAGAGAGGGAAGAAATCTTGCTAGATGCATGGAAAGAGGTAAAATATTATGTTTGGGTCCTTCCCCATTTTCTGGATTTCCTGGAAACAAAGAAGAAAGAAAAAATATACTGAAAGTTGTCATCTTTGTGGTCTGTTAAAGGAAACAGGCACGCTTGCCTGCAGAGCAATTCCCCCATTTCCACCTCTCAGAGCTAAACCCAATAAGAAATTTATTGCATGAGACATTTTGCAAAGGCCCGAAAGAATGAAGAATGTCAGACATTGAGTAAGGGATAGTGAACCATAAAGTAGACAGTCATCAAAGAGGCTTAATGAAAGTAATTATAATAAAAACTGTCTTATAGCTAACTTTTGTGTTCTAAGCAGGGAGGTTGGACATAGCTCTCATCTTTGTGGGAAGTGCAATCCTCAAAAGACTCCTTTCTTCTTGTGCCATGTCGGATAACTATTAATACAGGAAAAAAATGGAAATACTCAGTAAGTTGCCATATTACAGCAAAACCCACTGATGAGTCTTGTCTAGAGATGATATGGCTTGTTTAGGAGCTAGCAAAACGGAATGATTTTTCAAAAGCAAATACAGAAATTTCTTTCTTTTCTATCTGTTTTTTGGGGCCACATCCAGTAGTTCTCAGGGCTCACTCCTGCTCTTCTCTGTGTTCAGGATTCACCACTAGTAAGGATCCAGGGACTGAACCCAGATCAGCCTCATGCAAGGCAAATGCTCTGCCTTCTGTATTATCTCCTGGACCCAGCAATTTGTATTTTCAGTTTTCACTTTCTTTTCATCTCCTCCTATACTCTTCCTCCTCATCCCCTTTCCCTGTTTCCTGTCATCCTCCTCTTTCTTCTTTTCTTGACTCTGAGAAAGAGGAGGCATTTAACACATATGACTAAATACTAAATGTTAAGGGGTTCTCAAGAATAATGTGCCGTGTATTGGAGGTTGCTTAAACTAAAGATGGACCCATGATCTCTGTCTCCTCAAATCCAGGCCTTTCAAAACTTCCATACTGCACTGGGGTCAGCCCGTATGATCAATACTACACAGGAGAGTAGAAGCTGAGCACTAACAGTGGATAGGGCATTAGCCTTGCGTACAGCTGACCCTGGTTCTATCCCTGACAACCCATATGACCCCCGAGCACAGCTGGGAGTAATTCTGAGAGCAGAGCCAGGAGTAAGTCCCGAGTATTGCTGGGTATGACCCCCAAACAAACAAATACACTCTAGCAGAAGTGATGACAAGTCATCCAGGAAAAAGACCATTGAAGACAGGAGGTTTCCTTCCTTTCCTTTATCTTCTCTCATGCATCATTCACTCTGGGAACAGCTGCCCTGCCATCAGCAACCCGTTGGAGGGACCGACAAGGCTATTTCTTGTCAGTAGCCATTGAATGGGGTTGGAAGTAGATTCTCCAGCTTGTTCAGCCTTCAAAACATTACAGCAGAGGCTGATATCTTAACAGAAAGCCCCAGCCAGAATCACCCATCTGAACCGCGGCCAAGTTATGTGAGATAAAGAGCTTATGATATGGTTCTGGGACCCTCAGAAACCATAAGATAATGAATGCTCGCTGCTTCATGTTATCAAACGATGGGGTGATTTGTTATCTTTAACAGGAAAGTAGGAACAACATTCTATTACAAATAGTTTGTCTCGTTGCAGATTTCTCTCTCCTGTTACCTCCTGAGAAAAGCTTTCTCTTTTCACTCTCAAGTCGCACTCCACCACCCTGGGAATGCACACCCCCTTTGTCTACATTAGTTTTCTTCATATTCTTTATCATTATAAGATATTACATCACCTTTATTGGTATATTGCTTGACTGTACAAAGTAAGTTTTTTTTGTATATGCACATTTTTAAACGAAACACCGTGAGATACAGTTACAGAATTACATGAAATAACTTTCATAATTATGTTTCAGTCATACAATGATCGAGTGCCCATTCCTCCACCCATGCCCATTCTCCACCACCAATGTTCCCAGTATCCCTCCTGCCACCCCCCATCCACCCTCCCCCCTACCCGTGCCTCTGTGGCAGGCACATTTCCTTTTTCTTTCTCTTTTTTTGGGTGTTATGATTCACAATACAGGTAGTAAGCGGCCATCATGTTCCGTCCATAGTCTACTTTCAGCACGCATCTTCCATCCCTCCTAGCATCATTCACCTAGTAGTTTCGTAGGGGAAGAGATCTAGAGTAGTGACTCCAGTGTTTGTTATGGAAGTGTCCATATCAAAGAACTGTCCTGATGGAGAGCTGGCAAGTGTTCTTCTATTCGTGTGTGCATATGCATATATGTGTACATATGTATATGCTCATGTAAATATGTTCATGTATATATATATATAGATAGATAGATATTGTATAAAAACTATGTAAGTTGCCAATGTGCATAAAGGTTGAATGGATTTTTCCTTAGGCTCAGAAGTAGCTTGGAGTTTCTATACACAGAGAACACAGATGAAATAGTGTCTGCTTTTGTTATGTAACCTGTGTCAATCAACCTAGAGCATGTTTCAGTAAGTCTGGAGTCATCTTTAAGTGCTTTTCTCTCTAAATCTACATTAAGTTTGTCAGAAAGGCCATCGGGGTTTAAAGCATAACTGAAATTTGATAATTTCTCACCACTTCCCTCTCCACTCTTGTGATTGAAATTACCATCATCTTTCCCTAAGGTTGCTGCAATTGGTTAAGTCCTACTACCTACTACCTGAGTCCTAGTAGGACTTGTCCCCTGGTGCCACTTAAGTTGGTGGCACCTTTTGTTTAAAATGCCTCCATCTGATTGGGAGTAAGGGCTCAGCCCGGGACAACATTGCTGCCTTCACACAAACTCTCATTACCTGGCAAGCCTCATCATCTGCCCTAGCCATACCGGCCTACTGGCAGCTCCCAGAACAAGTCAGTGGGTCTTTGCTCCCATCTTTGGGGTTCCCTGGTACAGTTGACTGGAAATTTCCACCTGTTGATAATCTGCCTTGCCTACTCCCTGGCTTCCTTCAAGTCTTTTTTGCTAATGTCATCTCTTTAGTGAAGACTATTGCTCTAACCTGGAAAGCTGTCCGTGATGCATCCTTGGGCCCTTTCCACTCTATACGAAAAAGGTTCTTATCCTCCCTGCTTAGCCTATTCTCAACTCCCCACTCACAGAACGCAATAAAGCATAATTCATTAATTTTAATATTCTAGTGTTTGTCTGCCTCAGGTGCTCTTCCCAACTGTGAATCTCTTCATCTTATATATCAAGTGTCTCTGATGCTGCATGTCTAGAGATCATAATTTGAGAACCAAGTTTTTAGAATTAGGCTGTGCCAGATAGACGTTTCTAAGCATGCCATACTTAAATTTATGACAATGAGATAAAATTTGAGAGTCAGCTGTTGTCACCGTAGCTCACTTTTCTGTGCTCAAAAACTATCTAGGACCAGTAGATTCCCTGTGAGGCAGCAAAGATATAGAAAATTTTATTACCAAGTTCATTGGATAGTGTGGCCTTCGAAATACAGACTAGAACAGTTTAGTAATCACCAGCCACATGTGACTGTTCAATTAAAATTAATGAGAACGAAAGAAAATTTAACTCAGGTCTTAATTTTCCCCAACTACACTCCATGGATCTATGGCCACAACTGTTGCAAGATTGCAATAGTGGAGAGTGTGGGTGGAGACGGTGACTATTACTGCTGAAGGTCCTCTTGGACAAGGTAACTTCAGAACATTCTTTATGAGGACCTGAACCTTTTTCCATCTCCTTTGCAGCCCTATACCCAGTGCCTCGAACAATACAATCATGATTTCAATGACTGAGAGCGGGAATTGGGTCTGTTTTATGTTTTGTCTCTAACTGCTAATGATGAATAACTATCGAAAACAACTGACTTCATTAAAAAAGTCAGCATGTGGTGGGTGGGGAGGAGAATAATAGAAACGTCCTCAAAGGAGACACTCAGATAAACATAAGATATTTTAAAAAAATGATCTGCACCACTTATCATCAGGGCAATAAATCAAAAGCAACAAGGAGATATCATTTCATACCAGTGAAACTGGCAAGTTTTGTAAAGAACAAAAACAACCAGTGTTGTTTTTGTTCTTTACAAAAAAAAAAAAGTATCCTCATTTTCTGCTCATGGGAATGTCAACTAATCTAGCCATTTTAGAAAATAATATCGACATTTTTTAAGAAACTAAAAATTGAGCTTCCGAATAAAGCAGAAACCTCATTCTTGACATGAGGTTTGACGAGAGCCCCAAATTCTTTTCATATATGCTTTTGCACGCCTGTGTTCATTGCAGCACTATTCACTATAGCTCCAATCTGGAAATAACCCAAGGGACCAAGAATAGATAACCAAATAAATAAACTATGGTGCCAATACACAATGGAGTATCACTTGACTTTAAGAAAAGATGAAATCATGCGATTTGCTGCTATGGAAGCTGACCTGGAGTGTATCATGCTGAGTGGAGTTAGTGAGAAGGAGAGGGACCGACACAGAATAATCTTTATCATTTGTAAGATATAAAGAAACATAGTTGGGGAGTAACCAAGGCCCAAAGGCAACAGAAATGGAGAATGGGTCTTCAGTAGGAAGTTCACCTTAGAGGGAATAAAAGGTGGTGGTGTGAGGGGTGCAGGAGGGAGTCTGGAATAATGGTGGATGGAAGCGAGCACTCTGGCAGAGAGTTTGGAATTTCTTTTTTTTTTTTTATTAGTGAGACACCATGAGGTAAAGTTGTAGACTTACAAATTTTGTGCTTGGATTTAAATTATACAAAAAATATGGAACGCTTCACTAATTACATGTCATCCTTGCGCAGGGGTCATGCTAATCTTCTCTGTGTTGTTCCAATTTTCATATATGTGCTGCTGAAGCGAGCACGAGAGTTTGGAATTTCTTATGCATGGATCCCTGTCATAAAAAGTTTTGTAAACCATGGTGTCTAAAATATTTTCATAGAAAAAATAAAAAATAAAAAGTCTTTTTTTCTCTTTTTTGGCTTTTTTGGTCACACCCCTCAATGCACAGGGGTGTTTCCTGGCTCTGCACTCAGAAATTACTCCTGGCAGTGCATAGGGGACCATATGGGATGCTGGGGACTGAATCCAGATTGGCTGCATGCACAGCAGAGACCCTCCCCACTGTATTATCATTCTGGTCCCCAAGAAGACTTTTTTAATACATAAAACAAGTGCATCTACCAGGTTGGACACTGAGACCACCGTCAGCTTTAGGACTGATACTGATGGGTGAGTGTGGAAGGGCACACACGTATAAAGCTTGCAGAGGTGGAACATCTGTAAACTCCTGTGTATTCATGAAACAAATACAAAGCCCGCATCTCTCTCTTGCTACCTGTGTTTGGTGGTCTTAGGCCACTTCCCCACCAGGGATGGCTGATGCCATGGGCGGATGAAGGAGGAAAGGAGGTAGAGGCTCGTTGGTGATCAGTTGCCATTTATTCCATTCTCCCCAAGAGCCTGTTCCAGTCTCACTAAGCTCCCCATTCCAGACTCACCCTGCCCTTCATTCCCGTCTCCTCCTGTCTCCTTTGATAGTCTCTTAGTGCTCCAACTCAATGACTTGCTGTCTTCAGCAAGTTGTGGTAGCAACCACACCAAGGTCTGGTAGCACAATCAACATATCAAAGCCCTTCCTGATTGCCTGCAGCCAGGAGATCTGCTCAAGTAGGGAAATACCACCTAGGGGTTTTTCTCCTTTCCTTAGTCCAAAAACCATTTAAACATTCATATTAATTCTACTTCTTAATATTAGTCATATTGTGTGGACATAGTAGGAGACATTAAGCTTGTCAGGTGCCTCTCCTGGGGACATCTTGCCATAGATATCAGACTACAGTGCTCAGGCCAGATTAATATTTCCTAACCCTAGCAGGGTCATAATCTAGTTGTTACCTTTTGGATCATGACAGAATTTGTCTGTGACCATGTTCTTAACTTATAGTTAAGTATTATGGTGCTTGGCCTTGGCCCATTTCGATGCCAGGGTAGCTCACAGCTTGCCCCTGGTCCATCCAGTCTTTCACTGGGATGCTGTTGTTGGGATGCTAGGAAGTGAGGCAATTGAAGTTTAAGTCGAGCAAACACATGAGTGAATGCTAAGTAAGCTCTGGAGTGAATATTATTCTGAGTCAATTAACTCCCAAGTTACAAAAGGATAGCATTAACTGTCTTCCTGTGTCTATACAAAAAGGACTTTGCTCTGAATTCACTATGCAAAAGACATAAGGAGAAGAGAAAAGCAATATTTTCAAGTAAACAAAGTCTGATTAGGAGATTAAGGTGATTGATCAGTTGGGAAAGCAGAACACAAAGAAAGAGTTTACAGATAAACGCAGAGGAATGGGAGTGCCTTGGGAGCACTGTGATGAAAGTTACCTAATAAACCGAAGCTCCCTGTGGCAAGGCAGAAAGGACAAACCAATGTTATCCTACAAACTCCTATAGGAGACTCTAGGCCTCTTGCTTGCTCAGACATAGAGGAGGTTCAGGGGCTTGTGGCATATCACAATTTCAGACAAAAGTTGTTCAACTCAGCGCTTAAAGTCCCTCCGGCCTCCAGAATTGTTTAGTTTATGTGAACTTAGAAAAGTTCAAGACAATGGTCCTTCTATCCTTCAAGAGCATTGTCCCCTTCCCCCTGCCACTTTGAGATATGAACCAAAATGCTCAACCAAATGGCATAAGTTACAGCACTCCAGGACTCAGTCCTTTAACTGAGTCTTTTCTATCATCAGATTTAACTGATCTTTCTAAAGGAGAGCACTAAGAGGCAGTACAGACAACATTTTCACTGTGTGTTTTAGAGATAGTTTCCACAGAATGCTGACAACTACTTCTGTGTTTCAATAGCATTCATTCTACTCTGTTTTTTTTTTCCAGAAAAAATATCTGGCTTGGGAATGAAATAAAACCCCTCAGTACAAAGGACACAATTCACAGCCACCACATTGGACAAAATATTGTGTTTGGCAAAGGAGAGACATTTGGATGCCATCAATAAATACCCCCATCTTTGGTCCAGTAACTAGAACTGAGAAAAGAGTAACTAGACCGTAAAGTCCCATCTGAATTCTAATTCAGAAAGTTTACTTATCCCCTTGGATTCCAATTTTACTGGCTAGGTCAAACCTCATTTTATCTTTATTATAGCAGAAGCAGAATATATCTATTCTTCTACTCTTTAGAGTAATTTTTCAGATTTAGTCTAAATCTTTAGACTGACAAGACTTAGAGTAATTTTGATAAATGTGGAGGAAAGAAGCAGCACTTAATATTTTTGATAGAAGTGGTTACTCTGACTTATTGTTTTACGGGTTTTGAAGTCAATGTTTTCTCTATAGCTAAATAAAATGCTAAGCAAGTGAGAATTTCAGGAAATTCAAAAGGTTTTAGGACATAGTGTCAATTTGGGTACTTTCTGAATAATTATCTGTCATTTATGCATGTAGATAGATGTACATCTGTATGCGCACATTCATATCTCACCTTATCCACAACATTTATGTCTGTATGCGACTGTCATTTTTATATAAAACCAGTACATCTTATAAAACTTCCCAAAGCATGACTCCTTAGAATTGCTACTGACATTTCCTCTAATATGGAAATTAAGTGATTCTTCTAAACATTAACAAAAATCCATTGAACAATCAGAAAGAAAATCCTGGACTTCTAAAACAAAATACAACAATTAGCTTGATCAGACTTAATCGTGTTATTAAAAATTAAAGGTGCCCCTTTCTGTATATATGTATATATCAGAATCATGTGGTGGAGCAGAACTGGTCAAAGTTTTTTTTTTTTTGTGGGGGGGGTTGGTTTAGGTGTGTAGGGGGGACTTTATCGTAGTACAAGATTGCAGTAAAATTTCCTTCTGTGTGTTTTTTAAGGTCAAGGTGAATACTGATGGGGAAATTAAGATAATAGTTTAGAAAGTCCAGGGAAGTTTGAACCCAAATACAAGTAAGGAATTTTGAGAATTGTTAATACAAAGCTTAAGAATGACATTTGTGGAATACAAAGTAACATAATAGGAGAATAACACCCAAAGATAGTAGAGATAAGGGCCAGAAGGAGCGTTCCATGGCTTGGAAGCCCATCTCATGTGTGGCGGGGGAAAGGCAGCTGAGATGGAGAAGAGACCACTAACTAAATGATGGTTGGAGGGATTGCTCTGGATGATAGATGCGTGCTGAAAGTAGACTATGGACCAAACATGATGGTCGCTTAGTGCCTATATTGCAAACTATAACATCCAAAAGGAGAAAAAGAGTAAGAGGGAATGTCTCTGCTACAGAGGCAGGGGGTAGGAATGGGTGGGGGTGGCAGGAAGGACATGGGAACATCGGTGATGGAGAATGGGCACTGGTGGAGGGATGGGTACTCGAAAATTGTTTGGTTGAAACATAATCATGAAAGTTTGTAACTGTATCTGATGATGATTTGTTTAAACCAAAAATGAAAAGGAAAAAAGCTTAAAAATGAATGTAATGTCTTTGGTCTGAGTCCCTGGGTGACATTTTATTAATTCAGGTTGAAGTGATGGAGAATGAATTTAGGAAAGTTGGGAAAGTAGATCAGAGTAGCAGGGAATGAATTTAGGAAACTTGAGAATGTAGCACCACAAAAAGTTCTACTATTTGTTCTAATTATAAAAAGTAAGTGAGGTGGTGGCTCAGAGTAGCTTGATGGAGGTTTCATGTTCAGAAGTTTGTAAATCCTATTTGAAAGTAGCTACTTGAGGCTGAGTGAAAGCAAACTCAAAAACATTCATGTCAGAAGATATCTTGGAACAAAATCAATATCATCCAGATCTCTACTACATGTTTTATGTTTCTGGAACCCACCACAACTCAAATTGAAAGTCTGGATATACTGTGCATATAGAAAGAACATTTGTTGCCATTATACTGGATAGCAGTACACCTACAGATCCCTGGGTCCTGTGATAATCTGCCAGGAATGAAACAGCATAACGAACTTTGACATCGCCCTCTAAGTGACTTTGAAAAATGACTTGTTTGCATTTACAGAAGGGATTAGCATAAGTTACTAACCGTTTTCAGATGACAATTCTGACTGTCATCGAGAATTAAAACAGGAATAAAACACAGCATTTTAAGTGCTGGACAAGCAGGCTCAGTTGGGGAAACGGAGAGGAAATTTTGAGTGATGGGTAAATTCTGACAAATTAAGAGTTTATTTTAAACACTACAAGAAGAACAGTGGCAGAAACAGGAAGCACACTATGGATGGTTAAATTTTAATCTAATCATTAATTATCTTGATCAAATCATAAAGTACTGGGTTTGGGAAAAAAAAACGCAAACTTCAACCCAAACCCAATGGAATGGCTCTGAATATGTGGAATGTAGCCTTTATGAATGTGGTGTAATTAACCCTCTACATACTGCCTGGAGTTTACTTGTCAGGAATGGAGTAAGGGATCTCTGTGACCCTCCAGAAAGAGGCCAGTACTTCTAGGATCATCTCCCAAAGTGTTCGATGTCCCTGAGAAGTTAAATCTGGTGAACTGACAGTGACATTTCTGCTGAACATTGGGTTCTTTATGTTTAACCAAGTTGCCTGAGAATTCCTTTGAAATCACCATAAAGCCCTACTGGAAGACATCAACTGAAATGTAGCACCCAACACAAGAGTGGTCAAACGCAGCAGAACCAGAATGAAAAACTCCCAGGCTTATGTTTCAGAAATGACCACAGAGAACTCATGGGCAGTGCTCTATACAACATGAAAATGAGTGCAAGAAATTTATTCCCTTCCCCCAAATAAGAAATAATCTTTAAAACGAGTTTTAAAAGTTGCACTTACTGTCACCCTGAAAAGTACCAAGTCCAT